GATTCGGGCTAGAGCCATCTGGGAGCGCTCAGCCCGTGGGGGGCATCGGAGGTGGGTCTGTTGGCCGCCTAACGCACCACGGGGCTGGCTGGGACAATTTAATGTGATCCACCCATGTTACAGACAGGAAAGTTGAGGCCTGGTATTGTGGTTAACTCTACACACATGTGTCTCCCCTGCTGGGCTGGGGGTTCCTGGGGAACAGAAGTAAAGCCTCGTTCAACCTCAGTGCCCAGCACAGGGCTCCACACGTCACGCACAGGTGCTCGAGAAATGTTTGATGACGGAAGGGAGGAGGCATTCTCTGGTGTCCAGCCACTCTCCCACACTTTCACCCCCCCCATAGGCAGGCACAACGACACAAACAGGGGTGGTTTCCACCTGAGCCACACCTCCCCGGGACTTTCCTTTCAAGGCTCCGAGGAATTGCACACAAGGCCGTGGGCTGAGCAACAACAGAGAGAACCACCCTTGGTGATTGACAATAAGTGCCTTCCCGCCAACGACCTCATCACAGCCTCCCGCCAGTAAGCAGGGCAGGGACTCTTAGTGCCTGGGCTCAGATGAGTAAACCGAGGCCCCAAGAGGGCCAGGGACTCTCCCGGGATGGGTGAGCACGCCAACATGGGAGCCTCCTCACCCAGGTGCCCTGTGTCTGTCATCCGGCCAGACAGCACCTTAGCAAGCCGAGTAGAGAAGTCAGTTGGCCAGATGGCCAGACCTCTCCCCACAGCACTTCCTGCCCTTGCTTTCCTGGGACACAGCCAACAGGGACTTGGGGAAGCAGAAGTCGGGGAGGGGAAACATGCAAGCCCTAGAATGTTCCAATTGTGGCCCAACAGAAGTGACTAAGAAGCTGTCCTTCCCTGCTGGGCCCAGCCAAGCACATCAGGAACAGAGAGAGGAGGGCCTGGGAGAGAGGGGGAGGGCAGAGAGGGGCTCCAGGCACAGGCAGGGAGGTCTGCAGGCAGCTCAGGTGGAGCTGGGGGACCCAGGTGTGAAGGAGGGGCAGGAGGGGTGTCCCTGGGGAGCCACCTAGCAGCTCACTACATGAGTGGAGCTGGAGAGATATTTGTTGATGCTTGGTTTGTGCCAAGAGATGGCTGGCTTGGTCCCACCCACCTGCTGCAGGAAAAACACCAGCAAAGCCGAGACACTTTTCTCCACTCCACTCTCCCTGAGCCCGAGAGTGGAGGAAGACAAGGAAATTCACCTCCAAGCCTGTGCCTGGTCCTCTCCCAAAAGCTAAAACAATCTTTTACTAGGACACCTTATAATGTGTCTGCCACTTAGCACCTTTGTTTTGGGGTCAGGGAGTGCAGGGTTGGCACTTATTTTCTTTTCCTTCTTCACAGCATCCGCTGTATAATTCCATTCCAAGAGAATCGGGTCATACGTGCTGGTTGTTATCAACCGTGGCCTTCTCCCCACCAGGTCAGCTCCCCCACCCCTGCTCATTCCATAAACCAACCGTCTCCCAACAACCTTGTGACCTCGTCTGAGCCACAACTTGCTCCTTTGTAAAATGAGGACCATCTGCACCCCTTCGCCTATCAAAAACAGATGTGCAAGGAAATGAGGATACGCAGACACTTTGTGAGCCGAAAAGTTTAGGACCAAAGCTGGGAAGTTTAGTAGCCATAAACCATCTTACCAGTCACAACCTTGAGCCCCGACTTCCTCCTTTGTAAAATGAGAGCATTAGCACCAACTCCCCAATCCAAGACAGATGTGAAGTGGGAAGAGCACATGGAAACGTTCTGTGAGCTAGAAAGTTTAGTTCTAAGAGGAGGGAGAAGAGCTCCTGACACAGGTCGGCCACTGCTCCGCCCTAGTCCTGCTCATGCCAGGCAGCAGCTGGGATCTTAGGTTGCTGTCTCCAGAGCTCCCGGGGCTCAGCCAAGTCCTTGGTCACAACACACACCTGTGCCTTACCCTGAGCGCAGCTCTCCCGGGGTCCCTAGCAAAGGGGCAAAGACAAAGTCTCCCTCCTGACCCTGAGCTCCTGCTGCCTTCTGAGCCCAAGCCCTGTGCCTTCCTAGCGCCTGTGCCAGACCCCCAATCTCCTCTTTGGCAGCCCGAAGGATTTCAGTGGGCCGAGCAGATCCAGCTTCACTGCACATCTTCCGGAAACAGGAAGACTAAAGCCAGGTAAACCAGTGTCAACTTAAAATCATTCCTCCCCACCAAACAGTAGGGGTTGATCCTTACCAAACCAAGCAGCTTTTTTGAAGAAAAAAAGGAAACGGCCTCACTCTGAGCTCAAGAAAGTCATCTAGCATGGAAGTTGTTTCAAAACCGTTTACTTCTGAGGAACTCACTGAGCGCTCAACGGGCAGACCTCCAGCCCACAGGGAGAAGTTAAGATTGTGAGACAAAGTAGTAAACATAAGAAGCCATGTCCCACTGCTGGGCATCTTCCCAAAGGAAAAGAAGTCATTTTATCCAAAAGATACCTGCACTCGAATGTTTATTGCAGCACAATTCACAATTGCAAAGGTGTGGAATCAACCCAAGTGCCCACCAATTCATGAGCGGATTAACAAAATGTGGTATATATATATATACCACGGAGTACTACTCGACCATAAAAAAGGATGAATTAAAGCCTTTTGCAGCAATTTGGATCGAACTGGAAACCATTATCCTAAGTGAAGTATCCTCAAGAATGGAAAAACAAACAGCACATGTACTCAACTATTAAACTGGAACTAACGGATGAGCACACAGGTGCACAGAGGGAAGTAAAACTCAGTGGAAATCAACAAGGGGGGGGGAGGAGGGGAGGGGCAAAAACCTACCTAACAGGTACAATGAACACTAATCCGGACTCAAGCATTCCAAAAGCCATCCATGTAACAAAAACATTTGTACTTCCTTAACACTTAGCAATAAAATTTTAAAAAACATTTTTTAATAAAAGAAGCCATGTTTGCTCATTTCTGCTTGCCGCATGATCTCACAAAGCCACCGACTGTGATGACGCAGCCCCCTGGAGAGAGGCTTTGAAGGCAAACAAGACAGAGCACAAGGCCTCCCACGCTCTTGTCCCCAGTCATATATTCCTTAAGAGATAAATGACCCCAGTCCTTGACTTTTCTTGTACATAGGATAAAGGCCGATGGGTTAGTGATTATGCCTCTGTGATCTATAACCAGATGTGTCCTTGCACCCCAGCTTTGGTGTGATTCTGCTGAAGTGTCACTTCTGAGCAAGTCTGATGTGATTCCGCACGCACTAAACCCCTGCCACCCGTATATTGGCAGTGGCCTGAAACACTGTGCCGGAGCGGTCCTTAGTCCTAAGACTTCTAAATAAAACTAACTCTAATTCTTTAAAAGCTTGATTTTTTTTTCCTTTGGTCAAC